TAATAATAATAATTGGGCCAGCCAGTGGTGTGGTGAAGGTGGCTAGATTCCACATAGCTGACTATATGGTTGAAGTCCCAGACCTGGTGGCTTGAAACATACATAAGGTGTGTGTGCATGCAATGCCCCAAATCCTGAGAGGAGAACAAAGGAGAAGGGACTATGGCATGACCATCCCTCTCTTGGGGGTACTTTCTCATGTTCTCTCGCTTTCTCTGGTGAGTGGACATGCCCTATAGCAAATTTTTAAAAAAATTAAGAATGAATGTTGGGTTGGCTCTGTGTCTAGTGGTAGGGAGCCAGATGTTGACAGCAGTTCCAATCCTGACCCTGGTAGCTTGAAAAACACAGTGGAGGTCCAGCCAGTGTTGTGGTGATGAAGGCATCTGGATCCCATGTGGCTGACTCTGTGATTCAAGTCCTGGACAGAGGGTCTTGAAAAACATGCTATTTACATATGCACGTATACCCAAAATCCTAGGAGGAGAATGAAGGAGGAGATACTGTGGAATGGGCATCCTCCCTAAGATGTGCTTTCTCACTCCCTCCACCCATGAGCACACATGCCATATAGAAAAATTTTTATCTATCTATCTATCTATCTATTTATATTTATCTTTTTTGTTGTAGGGTGTGTGCACTTGCTGGAGACAGAGAGAGAGAGAGAGTGAGGAGGGACCAACAGTTGGCATAATGGCTATGTCACTGACTCCCACGTAGTTGACCAAAGTTTGAGTCCCAGACCCAGTGGCTTAAACTCACGTCAGGCGTGTGTGCATGCATACCCAAGATCCCAAGAGGAGAATGGAGGAGAAGGGATTGTGGCATGGCCTTCCCTCCTGGGGGATGATTTCTTGCTTTTTGTCTCTCTGTCTTTTTGGCAAGTGCATGTGCCCTATAACAAGAGGATGACCATACTTCAATCCCTTCTCCTCTAGTTTCCTCCCAGGATTTTGGGCATGCACACATGAGCTTGGCATGAGTTTCAAGCCGCTAGGTCTGGGACTTGAACCATGCTAAACCATGTAGGAGTCTAGATCCTTAATCATCATGCCACTTGCTGGCCCTGTCATATACCAGTGTCATATGTCCAATGACATAATCATTACACCACCTAGTAATCCCTTTTTGTTTAACTTTTTTTTTTTTTAAGAGAGATTTTTACTGGAGGGTGCATGTGTCTGCTGGAGAGACAGAGAGGCAGGAGAGAAATCACCCCCCAAGGGAGATGGCCACACTGCAATCCCTTTTCCTCTATTCTCTCAGGATTGTAGGCATGCAAGTACACGTGCCTGGCATGAGTTTAAGCTGCTGGGTCTAGGACTCAAACCATGGTCAACTATGTGGGAGTCCAATGACATAACCATTATGCCATCTGCTGGTCCCTTAATTTTTTTGGAGAGAGTTTAAGCTACTGGGTTCAGGACTCAAACCACAGTCAACTACATGGGACTCCAGTGACATAACCATTATGGCATGTGCTGGTCCACAGCCCCTTAACTTTTATTAAGAAAAAAATAATTCCACACTACAAGGTCCTACTTCTGCAATCTGCCCCTTGTTCCAGCTAGCCTAGATCATGGGCGCTCACATCCCTGGGGTATTTAGGTACATGGGCCTCTGGATGCAAATTGGCAACCTGCACATTTAGGTCTGCCTTGCAGAGTGTCGTTTTTTTTATCATTTTGCCACTGTCCAATCTATATCTATCACTGCCATCCTCCTTATATTTATATGTATTTTTTTTTAAGAGAGATTTTTGCTATAGGGCTCATGTGCTCACCGGAGAGACAGACAGAAAACAAGAAATCACTCCACCCAGGGGGTATGGACACGCTGCAGTCCCCTCTCTTCCATTCTCTCAGAATCCTGGATATGCATACACACCTGCCCTGCTTGAGTTTCATACTACCAGGTTGGGACTCTAACTGTGGTCAGCCACGTCAAAGTCCAGTGACATAACCATTATGCCATTTGTTGATCTTAACCCATCCTTTTAAAAAAAGAGTTTATTACTTTCTAAAGAGAGAAAAGAGAGGAAGACAGGTACCTGACAGGATCTCATCACCACGTTGCAATCTTTCCCCCAGTCTCCCAGCCAGCTAGGATTACAGGCACATGAGCGTGCGTTGCATTTTCAAGTTGACGTGGCCTCTTATATAACTCTAAGATCACAGAGTGGCCCCCTGCTGCTTGCATCATTGTACCTGGGCCTCATAATCCTGTTTTCTTAATTAATGAAGGAACAGTCCCAGTGAGATGAAGTTACTAGCCCATTTGGTATGTATGTGTATATGTATATATGTATATTTTATTTATTCCTTTATTTATGCTTTTTTTTTTTGAGAGGTTTTTGCCAGAGGGCGTGTGAGTTCACCAGACAGACAGAGAGAGACAGAGAGACAGAAAGCGAGAAATCACCCCCTGGGGGGATGACCACACCGCAATCCCTTCTCCTCCATTCTCCTCTTGGGATCTTGGGTACGCACGCACATGTGCCCACTGTGTTTTAAGCCATCAGGTCCGGGATGCGAACCGCGGTCGACTACGTGGGAGTCCAGCGACATAGCCATTATGCTAACTGCTGGTCCCCTTTATTTATTCTTTGAGAAAAAATTTTGCTATAGGGCTCATGTGCTCACTGGACAAGCAGACACAGAGAGGTAGAGAGACAGAAAGTAAGAAATCACCCACCAGACAGGGGGACCAGCAGGTGATGTAGTGGTTAAGGTGCTGGACACTCCCACACGGCCAACCGCGGTTTGAGTCCCAGACCTGGTGTCTTGCTTTCTCACTTTCTCTCTCTCTCTTGTCAAATTAAAATAAATGAATAAATAAATAAAATTAAATAAATAATAATAAAAAAAAGAAATCACCCACCAGGGGGGATGGCCATGCTATATGATCCCTTCTCCATTTGCCGCTTGGGATTTTGGGCATGCACACACACGCACCTGGTGTGAGTTTAAGCTGCTGGGTCTGGGACTTGAACTGCAGTCGACTATGTGGGAGTCCAGCAATGTAATCACTATGCCACCTGCTGGTCCCTACTTATTTTTTTTAGAGAAATTTTTGTCATATGGCACATGTGCTTGCCAGAGCGACAGAAGGCGACAAATCACCCCTCTGGAGGAATGGCTATACAGCCATCCCTTCTTCTCCATTCTCTTCTCAGGATTTTGGGCATGAATGCACATGTGACAGCATGTTTTAAGCCACCAGGTTCGGGACTCAAACCGCAGCTGATTGCAAACTCTGCAAGAATCATTCTTTTTTTATTTTTTTAATAGGTTTTAGCCTTAGGACATGTGCACTCCCCTGGAGGAGAGAGCCAGAGAGCCAGAGCAAGAGAGAGAGAGATAGTGAGAGAGAAAGTGAGTTAATCCCAGGGGGGATGGCCATGCCGCAATTCCTTCTCCTCCATTCTCCTCTTGGGATCTTGGGCACGCATGCACATGTGCCCGGAGTGAGTTTAAGCTGCTGGGACCGGGATTCGAACTGCAGTCAACCACATAGGAGTCCAGCAACATAGCCATTATGTCAACTGCTGGCCCCTGGTATTTAGTTATTAAGTGAGAATGCTAGGCTTAAATCCAGGGCCTATGACTTCTAATTTTGAGCCTTTTACATTTCCTTTTCATGTTCTTTTTTCTTTCCTTTTTTTTTTTTTTTTAAATTTTTTGAGTTTTTTGCCTTAGTGCAAAGACAGTAAGAGGGAAAATGAGAAATCACTCCCCAGGGGGGATGAATATGCCACAATCCCTTCTCCATTCTCCTCTCAGGACCTTGGGCATGCATGCATACGCACCCTACCCTACGCCCCTGGTGTGAGTTTCAAGCTAAAGGTCTGGGTTGGGCTGTGGTCAAATAGTGGTTGGCTATGTAGGAGTCCAGCAATATAACAGCTGTAGTATCTTCTGGGCCTGATTTTTTTTTTTTTAATTTAAAAACTGGGACATTGATGTAACATTTTCAGTATGAAGTGGAATAAACTATATATATATTTTTTTCTTTTTTTTTTTGAGAGTTTTTTGCTATAGGGCGCGTGCGCTCGCCAGACAGACAGAGAGACAGAGAGAGACAGAGAGACAGAAAGCGAGAAATCACCCCCCCAGGGGGGATGGTCACGCCACAATCCCTTCTCCTCCATTCTCCTCTCGGGATTTTGGGCATGCACGCACACGCACCCGGCGTGAGTTTAAGCCACCGGGTCCGGGACTCGAACTGCGGTCGACTACGTGGGAGTCCAGCGACATAGCCATTATGCTAACTGCTGGTCCCTAAACTATATATTTTAAAAGAATTATTTATTCAATTCAAAAAAATAATTATTTATTCAATTTTGTTGTTATCATTATTTAATTTGATTAGAAAGAGAGAAAGGGAAAGTGAGAAAGTAAACTGCCAGGTCTGGGACTTGAACCATGGTTGGTCACACCATTTGCTGGCTCCAAGTTGTACGTTTTTAGTTCTTTTTTTTTTTTTTTTTAAGAATTATTTATTTAATTTTCTTTAATCATTTATTTATTTTAAGTTGACCAGAGAGAGATACACAGAAAAAGAGAGAGAGAGAAAAAGTGAGAAAGCAAGCTACCAGGTCCAGCTCGAACTGTGGTCGGCCATGTGGGAGTGTCCAGCACCTTAACTACCATGCCACATGCTAGTCTCTGTATGTTTTTAGTTCTAACACCCAGCAATGAAGTTACCAATTTGAAGATAAGAAAAAACTTACGAAATCCTATAAAAAACTTACAAACTTAGAAAAACTTACAGAACAAAATTTTCACTTACAAAACTTTACAATCAGTTTCATTTTTGGGAAAAAACAAGCTAAGTCACAAATTCACTCTTAACAGTAATTAAGCTAGAAATAGTTCTTTGCCAAAAGGTTTACAGTATCTACGGTGATATTTTCTTGATTTTGTTCTTTGTCCCCTGGCCTTACACTTATTTTACCTTATTCTATGGAGTTTTCAGTTGAGTTCCCGCCAATCTCTTACCTTCTGCCTGCAGAAGGACATCACAGAACACCCCACTCTGCTGCTGGTGATGAAGCTGCAGGAAAGCCAACCGGAGAAACCGGGGGTTCCTGTACAGGATTTTGGGACTGGCAGGAGAGCACATATTGTGGTTTCTTAACAAACTTTCTAGGTTTTCACAGATCAGATTCCTGTAGGTGAGATAATACATTTCAGAAGTATGGTTATACCTAATTTGTTTTTGGCTTTGAAAGGGTAAGGACTGTTTTTAAAAAAATAATTTTTAAAAATTTATCTATGTAAATTTGACCAGAGAGGGACACAGCAAGAGAGAGACAAAAAGTTGCCAGGTCTGGGACGCAAACCACAGTCAGCCATGTGGAACTCCAGCACTCTTAACCACCACACCACCTGCTGGCCCCTGATAAGGAAATTTTTGAAAGAGATGATAGGGCGAGTTGAGGAAACAAAAGCCCAGAGTTGTGCCAAAGGTATCTAATAAAAAATATCATCACAGTGATTACATGCAGGAGCTTAGAGATTAACCTAGGTTTGAATTCTAGCTCTATTACTTGCTAGATTGACTATATAATCTCTGTGACCTACCTCTAAGTTTTACTTTTCTTATCCACGAAATGGGAATGATCACAGTACTTACTTTAGAAAGCTGTTTTAAAGATCAAATGAATCAGAACCAGCAGATGGCATAATGACTATGTCGCTGGACTCTCATGTAGTCAACTGCAGTTTGAGTCCCGGACCTGGTGGCTTAAACTCACACTGGGCATGTGTGTGTGTGTGTGCCCAAGATCCCAAGAGGAGAATGGAGGAGAAAGGATTGTGGTGTGGCCACCCCCTGAGGAGGGGGTGATTTCTTGCTTTCTGTCTCTGTCTTTCTGGCGGGCGCACATGCCCTATAGCAAAAACCTCTCAAAAAAAAAAAAAAGATACAATAAATCAAAGCAGATAAAATTGGCTAGCACAGTTTGTGCAATGATAAAATAACTATCATTCAAAAAATGGTAGTTGGGGGCCAGCAGGTGGCATGGTGGTTAAGGCACTGGACTCTCTCATATGGCTGACCACGATTCCTGGACCTGGTGGCTTGCTTTCTCACTTTCCCTCTCTTTCTGTGTCTCTCTGGTCAAATTGAAATAAATGAATGAATACGTAAAATTAAAATAATGCTTTAGTAAAAACAGAAGAGAATAGAAAAAAAGGGTAGCTGGGGACTGGTAGGTGACATGGTTAGAGCATACTGGACTCCCACATGGCCAACCATGGTTTGAGTCCCTGGACCTGGCTGCTTGCTTTCTCATTTCCCCTTCTCTCTCTCTCTCTCTGTCTCTCTGGTCAAATTAAAATAATAATAATAATAGTAACAAATAAAATAAATAATTCCTTAAAAATATTTATTTATTTAATTCTATTTGTTTATATTATTTTTAAAATTTGACCAGCAAGAGATGGAGAGAGAAAGGGAAAGCGAGAAAGCAAGTCACTAAGTCTGGGACTCAAACTGAGGTTGGCCATGTGGGAGTCCAGCACCTTAACCACTGTAACACCTGCGGGCACCAATAAGTAATTCTTAAACAAACAAACAAACAAACAAAAAAAGATTTATAGGGGCTGGCAGGTGGCGTGGTGGCCGACTGCGGGTCAAGTCCTGGACCTGGCTGCTTGCTTTCTCGCTTTCCCTTTCTCTCTCTCTGGTCAAATTAAGAAATAATAATAACAAATGGAATTGAATTTTTAAAAGTTCACAGAAAAGTGACTAAAAACCCTAGATTTATTAAAAAAAAAAAAAGGTAGCTATGATTACTATCCTCGAGCCTTCCTCATTCATATTACCATTGAGACCTAACTCCTACAATCCTAACTACTCATATTCTTCCTAAGCACTACATGTCAGTTCTATGGGTGATCATCCTTAATCTGATACCTTTAAAGAAACAATATTGTATATAAAATGATCTCTTGGGAGTTATATGCACCTTCTTTTCTTTGAGCTCACTCTACCACACTAACCACCAGAGGGTGCACAATAAAGAAGACAGGCATCTGGATATGCTGGGAAAGTCTCTCTCAGAAATAAGTACATTTCCACTCTTAGTTCAGATGTATTCGACTAAAGTAAGCCTGAATGCCCCTGGAAATTGGCAAAGAACTTGGCTTTTAGATTGGTTTGGTTAATTGTTGATACTTGGCAAACAATGGAGCAAGGATAGTAAAGCATTCTCCCCCTCCCAAAACAAACTGGGTATTCTGGCGTCAGGCTTACTACATTTCCAGCTTTTTTGCACTGAAATTCCCATACTCACTGCACAGCTGTGTTCCTTTGCTGGCGTGCAGTTTTCTGCCAGGTGGCACTGAGGGTTGAATAGTTTCTATCAGGATAGAAAAGATTGGACAGATAAAGGGCAGGCTCAATTTTAACCCCAGCGAGAGAGACGTGAGTGGAAGATGGTAGCTGTTGCAGGGACCCTGGGGAAGCTTCTCCTCCACCAGCGCCTGGCCTTGCCCCTAGACCCAACCTGGAATAGCTTTGCAGTAGGACTTCTGTTGTCCTGTGATTGGATCCTCAGTCCAGTCTGCCTTGCTTCCGCCCAGCGTCCTGACCCGCGCTGAGGAGTTCAGCAAAAGCGCACAGGTAGGCGAAAGGCCTGAGCAGTTAGTTCACCTCCCTGTCCAGACAAAGGGAATCAGGGTTAGCAGAGAAAGCAGGGGCTCACGGAAGGCCCTGCAAAGCTGGGTGCCCCGCACCCTCCGGGAGCCGGATTCTTTTGAAGAGAGACCTCCCCGCGCTAAGGTTTCTGGGAAGGAGGCATGGGGGTCCCTGGAGGCCCGCATTCCGGGCTCGCCCTCACGGCCACCTCTGGCTACACACGCTTTGCAGTCACCTCCTGGTGCTCTTGTACGGCCGTAGGTCCCCGTCAGACATGCACGATGCGGTGGTGACAGCGAGGGCCTGAGGCCACGCGGCCAGCGCCACACACCACGCGCCGCCACCCTCGCACAAGGCACGTCGCGAGGCCGACGTCTTGCTTCCTCCCGGAGTCCTCGGGCTGACGTCTGCCTGAGTACGTCATCCCTATTGGCCGAGGGCTCCTGGGAAAGCCAATCAGAGAAGGAGGAGAGCTTTGGCGGGAGGCTTAGTCTCCAGGCTCTTGGCTGAGGGAAGATGACCAGCGGTGAGAGGTAGGGGACAGGGCCCAGTGGGAGGAATTCTTGTGGAGACTGCCTTTCCCCTCAGCACTCGATGAAAACACACTGATAAAAGGGTCAGGGCACTCTGACAGGCCAGCTCCAGGCAGCTGAAGAATACCTCCACTTTCCCTTGAAGAGGCTGCAAATGGCCTTGGCCCTGCCTAAAGCGCTCCAGGCTTCGTGCGGCAAAAAGTCTCTGGATGGCTCTGCTCAACCTCGTCTCCTTTGTATCTAATCTAGGTATTTCCAAAGGCCAGAAATACTCTGGAACAAAGTCATTGGTCTGACTTCTGAATTCGGCTTTTCCACTGAATCCAACCCAACCCAGAATCTCCGGGAATGGTGATCTAAGGGGGTTGCCACCCCTCCACCCCTTCCCCCGCCACACCATGGTTTCCCTTGTTCTTCCAGAGAATATTTATGTACCGCAGTTACTGACTGGAAACAGGCATAATACTAAAACTTAAGTTATCTCCGTCCAGTAGGTGGTATAGAGGTTAAGGTGGCTGGATCCCATTTCCGGGTTCGAGTCCTAGACAAGCAGCCTGAAAATCATGTAGGGGCGTGTGTGCATTGGTGCTAAAAATTCCAAGAGGAGAATGGAGAAAAAAGGATTGCAATGTGTCCACCCTCCCACTTCTTGGGTGTTTTCTCTTTTTCCCTCTCTCTGTCTCTTCCTCCAGCGAGAGCACATGCCTATAGCAAACAAACAAAATTAAGTATCTCAAGATTAAACATTTACAGAAGGAACCAGCAGATGGCGCTGTGGTTACATCGCTGGACTCCCACATGGTGGACAGTGGTTTGAATCCTGGACCCATGGCTTGAAATTCACACAGGGCCAAGTGTGCTAGTATGCCTAAGATCCCCAGAAGGAGAATGGAGAAGAAGGAATGGTGGTGTAGCCCTCCCCACCAGGAGCGGAGGGGTGACTTCTCATGTTCCCTTTCACTATATCTGTTTCTCCAGTGAGTGAGTGAGTGCACATGCCCTAAGGCAAAAACAAAGAAACACACAAAAAACTCTAAAAAAAAATGTACAGAAAATACCAACCCAACTTATAAATCTGAACAGTGATTCTTTTATTTGTATGCATTCAGACTTGACCACAGCTTCAGTTACTGCCCCCTGAGTAGGTGCCTGGTAATGTCTAGCTCAGAGGGAAAAAGTTTGGGTCCAAAGCCATTGGTGACAAAAATGTGGTGAATAGAAACAGGACAGCCCCCACTGAGGCCAGCTTGAGGTAGAAAGGAAGATGCCTAAGAGAAGGGGGACTTGCAAAGGGACAAAATGGAGAGGAATGAGTAGTATAGTTTGCTCACATAATGTCTTTATTGATACCTAATGCTACTTCAGAACTGATTTGAGGTGATAGGCATAGCTCATTTTCAACTCAGGTATTATTTTCCCTAGTTTGAAGCCTCTGCTCTTAGATGAAAAAAGAAATGGAGAACAGAAGACAATTTTCAGTGGCAGTTGTCATATTTTGAAGAAGAAACTCGTGAAAGGACATAAAACTCAACAGAAGGAGGACAGATTTTAGATGTTGTCAGCAGCAGCAGCAGCAGCAGCAGCAACAACAACACACACAAATAAGCAAGCAAAACAAAAGAGAGGGCAGACCAATGCTTGTTCATGGCATCTGTTACAATCAAGACTTAAAAAAATCAAGACTTGATTGGGCAGGTGGAATACTATTATAGATGATTCTTTGAATGTGTGAGGAAAATGTAAATATATATATATATTTTTGGAGAGGTTTTTGCTATAGGGTGCGTGTGCTCTCCAGAAAGACAGAGAGAGACAGAGAGACAGAAAGCAAGAAATCACGCCCCAGGGGGAATGGCCACACCACAATCCCTTCTCCTCCATTCTCCTCTCAGGATCTTGGGCACGCATACGTGCCTGGCTTGAGTTTAAGCCACAGGGTCCGGGACTT